CATCAAACTTGTCCATGGTTTATAAGAAAATAAAAAATCCACAATGTTATTGCCACCACAAGTAGACCTGCAGTCTACGTCAGCTGCTGAGTGGTTTAAAGTACACCCAGCACTCTACCCTTTTTCACCCTAAGTCACAAAATTTTCCAAGGCAAATGTATACAGCAATTACTGTACAGCTCAGGAAGGGAAATGCCTTCTGCTTTACCAAGTCCACCACTGCACTTCTAGTCAGATGAGTTATCTGGTTTGAACTTTCTTATACGCTAAGAGTACTGTGTGTACGTCAGAGGAACAGCCGCCAACAAGGTATTTCCATTCACATTAAATTCAGAGCCAGAAGACATGGAGTTGCTGCTGCAGGGCCTAATATGCTAATAGAGTAATTATGTCTAGTCCAGGAGCAGGGCAGGCACGCTTGAAAATACTGGATACTCTCCCCAGGCTCGCACTGGGAAGTCTACAACCGCTGTGCTGGGCCACACCAAATGAAAACACTGGTCTGGGCGTCTGCTACAGGGGAAATCTTGTCATTGTGCTTGGTGGGATAACGTAGACATGCTGCAAGGCCCCTTACACTGCCGTCATGGTAAAGGAACTGTGCAGCATGGTTTGGCTCAAGGGTAATGGTATTTACTTTTAAAAGAGCCCTTTTCAACTGCCTAAGCAGAATGTGAAAACAAGACCTATATTTTTAAAGGCAGTACATCACAACTTCTCACATGAATAAAGACAGACAGGAGCACACTGACTTCTGATAGTTCCCTCTGCAACACTTTCACCTTAAAAAACATCACAGTGTTAAAGTGCTAATCCACCTTTAGTAAATTCTCTTCAGATGCTATGGATCCCCAGCCTGAAACCTTTTCTACTTTTTCCCTAGTAGAACTGTGTGTTAAGAAAATTTTCATAATTAATTACCTCAAAGAGAAATTATTTAATGTCTTTGAGAATGGAAGGGGAAGCACCATATACTTTCAGATTCAGTGAGATGCAGAAACTTATCTGAAGGATTAAAGGGCTAATACTGCTATATATTCAAAAACAGGTAGTAAAACTCCATTTGCTATAAGAAGTGCCCATGTGTCTGTTTTTCATTCTTCTAATGAATATTTCATAAGGATTTTAATGCAATACAAGAGTAGAGCTTTGGTGTAATGGATATAGGGTAGAGCATTGCTGCTGAAAAACCAAAGAGCAATGGCCAAAGTGGAAGCAATGCCCCTGCGGAACCTTAACAGCTCCAGGAAAATTAACAATTCAGCAGGCTTCAGTAAGTACTATGAAATGCTCTCCCTCTCTGTTAGTGTTGAAATGTGCTTGCATGTTCTCTATCAGCCTTTTCACTTTGTTGACCAAATGAGATGCTTTGCACTCCTGAATAAAAATTAAAAAAAAAAAAAAAACCTTCTTGTTTATGGATTCAGTTCATTCATGAAGAGTGCTAACTCTGAACCAAAAAGCTGCACAGAAAACCTATTTTGAACATTGTCAAATCAAATTATTGCAGCTTTTCAATCAACCTGCCCAAGACCTTCCATAATTTTTCTACAACTAAACAAATTGGTGATATTTCCTCTGTTTTGCTGAGCCTTCTCTGTATCTGTCTGCAAAGCTAAAGAAATACAAAGTTCAAAAATACCTATCACTAAGTGTAAGATAAACAAATTTAGCTGATCCTTGACTCATTTTATTTAAGTATCAATTGTCTAAAGCAAAGGTATTGTCCTTTGTCAACATGGCTGCCCAGCTATGTATTTGCTGCCTTTTTAGCTTTGTTACTGTGCTCAGACACAAGAAAATATCATTGCATGCAAAACAAAATATTCCAAGACTGTGATGCCAGCTTGATGTGGAGGACATTTCATTTATGTCATACCTTAAGGATGGTAAGTTTCCTTCTAATTACTAGGGAAAAAAATACATATTGAAATTTCAGTTAAAACTCTCAGGGCTCAATCACCTTAACCACTTATAAAAGGATTTTAAGCTTTCCACAATCTGCTCTATATTTAGTTTTCCTATACTTCTTTTAAATGTTTTTAACCTGGAAAAAAAACAGGTTCATTTTATGCATACCTCTTAGGTCTACGTAAATGTCTTCTTCATGGCATACATACAATCACACTGGAGAACACGAGGACAATTCAAGGTCAAATCTATATCTCATGAAGATGGAAAAGACCGTTTCCCTAAGCCATTTGCTGCAGCTCACAATCTAGAGGACTATAAAGGATGAATAGTAGGGTTCCTTGAACAAAGCACATGGAAGTGACCTCAGCTGCCCTGCTATGAATAATGGGAGCTATTACAGGGAGGTAACGGCAACGGTAGCAATATAGTCTTTGTTGCTCCCACTTCTGAGCAAGGTAAGAAAAGCAAAAAATAATACAACTCCCCAGGAATTTGCTGCATTAATATTATTTCTCTTCTTTTTTTTGTTGCTCTAACATAGTTAGAGCAATGAACTATTTATGCTGGTGTTACTGACAGTCCCCAAAGCATAAGTCTTAAGTCATCAGACACAAAATTTTGGTAAAAAAAATAACTGAGAAACAAACAAGTGCTTTCAATGGACTTTATTACTTTATACACAGTTTCTCTGAAGACAGTTGCTGTTATGACATTGATAGCATATATAAGCAGACAGGTAGACATAAGGGGTGATGGATTAAATCAGAATATTGTCTTCCATCATTCCTATTCCCCCTTTTCATTGTTTGTCACCTTTCTATTATGACAGGGATTTATTTAAAGGCACACTCATGTTATCATAATCAAATGATCAGCCACTGTAGAGATTTATTAGTTGGTTCCAAGAATGCATTTTTTTTTTTTTTTTTACTATGGTAACAGAAATGATTTGCCAACAATACCCTCTACTCAGATGCTTTCCTGCTCAGGACCTGTGCAGATGATAGTCTATGAGAAATCAGCAAGATGGCATAAAAATAAAAATAAAAATAAAAATAAAAATAAAAATAAAAATAAAAATAAAAATAAAAATAAAAATAAAAATAAAAATAAAAATAAAAATCATGTTACTGGGGTTCAGATTTTTTATTGTTCTTGCTGTTTCTACACCATACTGAAATTAAAGGCCAGATTTTTAGTTCTAGCCAAAATTTAGACAGCAAAAGGACAAGGCGATTATAAGGGCATGAGGTGTGTTATGGTACTTCTGCTCATTTCTCATTTCTGTGTACTCAAAAGCAGCTTCTCTTACTTAGGCTAATTGTGGTAAAACTGGCTAGAGCTTAAAATTGAAGATCACAGCAACATCAACAAGAGAACTATTGTACTCTAGTCATACTTTAGCCTGGGCAAGATAATGGTGTGGAAAAATATTTTCTAAGAATGCAACACAGTATTTCTACCTAGAGTTTGGTCCAGGACTGTACTCCTAGCACATCAAAGGTTTACCATTTCAGTGCTCAAAATGCACAAATTAAGGTATCCCCCACAAAAGCAAGCTTCACCATAACAAGTAACAGAGGTAATATCCGTATGGAAGGTAATGGAAGTAATACACACTTCACTGTATCAGGTAATGGAGGAAACAAAGAAGCCACCAGAATATCAAGCTTACTGAAGTCCTGGATGTCTATGAAACAGGTTTGAAAAGGCATTTGTGATTTTGTACTTGTCACGTTCACTTTTGTTCGCTATGCCCTTGGCTATTGAGGCAAAAGAAAATTTATCTTGAATTCATCACAAAATAAAAATTGTCACTGTTATTTGGGAAATGGAGAGTAATAAATGGCAGGTTTCGCCTGCCATTGAACATTTTCAGACACCAGGCAACTCCAAATTCTTAGATACCGTATTGGTCTCACGTTCACGTGACACACATTAATAGCTATTTTTCTTATTCCTCATATACAGTGCTAAGCATTACAAAAGCAGTATTCACCTGAAGGTAACACACATTGGTGTTTCCCAAAACCATAGTGACCATTTTGAGTACAAGGAAAATATGAAATAATTGTGATATATAAGAAGTCATGCAACTTAACTGTTAAATATTTTAAAAGAATGCTCACTATTTATTCACTTGTCCATTGCTCCCAGCTGTCAAAGACACTTGCTTAGAGCAATACTTAATAATTACCAAACTAACACCGCTAGTATGAAGAACTTGCTCTACTAGAGATGTCTAGTACAGCCAAGTCATAGTGAAATATGGTAGAGCACACAAATACAGCCAAGAGAGCTGTTTGCATATTTAAAATGTGTTCAGAGGATGGCATGTTCCATATCATTTAATCGTAATTGTTTCTTGTGGAGGAAAGATGAGAAAATTGCATTCCAATTTTAACTGCTTCAGTAATAACAAAAAAAAAAAAAAAAAAAAAAAAAAAAAAAAAGGAGTGCTAGTATCTTTATCTGACATATTATTCTTAATTTGATTTTCTCAGAAACAGCTACGGATTTTTTAAAGAAATATTGAACTCCTAGACAAGTAAGAAACCATTTCTATAGAAAAGTTAAAAAAAAATTTCCAGCAACTACATCAACCAGAGAAATATGACTATCTGAAAGCACACAATAGCATTTTTGGTGGTTTTTTTTTTTTCTTTTTTTTTAAACAAGATTGACAGAGGATATATTTTAATGTGCTATTACAGCTTGGTTTTAAATAATCATAAAAAATATCAGCAAGAAACATCCCCCTCATACAGACAGAGGTATTTAATGTAAGCTAAAAAAGCAAGAGCATATAATATAGATGATACAGGTAAAAGGAACAGTATGAGAGAAAAAATAATCGGAGAGTAAAACTAATCGTTACCAAATACTCAGCACAAAAAGGACTACATGTAAAAGAGAGATGGAGAAAACAGGAATTGTTGACAAGTGCAAAGAAGTGACAGAAGATGAACTGGACATGTTTTTTTTTTTTTTAATGAGGTGTTAGGTAGATCAGCTTGAGAGGGTAGATAGCAACTGTTTTGATGAGTTGGCCAAGGGTGTGAAAAGAGCTGAATAACATGACATTTGGAAAACTCAGGAGAGCAGTGAAACAAGAGATGGGATAGTCTCTGAACAAAATAGTGAACTACACAGGTCACTTGGAAACTTCCAGTGATATTAGTGCTGCAAATACTGGACATCTTATTAAAGTAACAGGCAAGGGCATGTGCAAATTAAAGAAAAAAAAAATCCTAGGTCATATCAACTCCCTTTCTCCCAAGCACAGCTTCTGAAAATGCTCTGTCACTCCTCCTATCTGCAGGTCTTGCTTCAGTCAACACAGTTGAGTAGTTCAGCTGATCACAGCTCCTCAGCTAAGCAATATTGAACTCAATGTGTAAGTGCATTGGAGAATCCCCTGCAGGAAAACAGGTATTTATCTAAAAGAATCCTTGTGACAGTCTCATGACCTAAATACAACATAGAATTACATTACACAACACACAATAACTATAGCAGTGAATAGAATATTATTAGATTATTATTTTTTTACCTTCTGTCCTTTACCAAAACAGTTGCCCCCCAGACAGTAGGGGACAGGAAATTCAGTTAAGCCATTTTTCATATCACAAGTTACCTCAACACAAGAAAGTATGGGATGGCCTTTCTGGGCAGAAAAGATATTGATGTGGTTTGTCTGCTGGATCTTCTAATGCTTTCAAGGTAACAGTGATAGTACTGGCCATTTCCTAGGCTTGTTTTTGCACAACAGTACCAGCAGTACCATTTTATGTTCATATCTATAGTGTCTCTTTGGACAACCAGGAGATAGATCTGCTATACGTATGGCAGCCACCACGTTTGCATGCCATGTCAGTAGAGCAGAGGAAGAAGAATGAAAAGGACAGGATTTTCTTTATCAAATAGCAGAGTTAAGGGTGTGTGGGGGGGAAACCTGTGGGAACATTTTGATGGGAAATAAAGCAAACAGGATTATTGTCAAGTGGTGCAAAAATAAGTTTTAAAAGTGTCTAAAATAGCTAGCATTTGTTTGAAGGAACTTGACAGTGATAAAGGCAGAGGAAGTTTGTGGTGGGTGTTCAAGGATGGCAAGCAACAGGATATGTTTATGTGCAGAGATTCTAAATATAAACTCCAAGGTGCAGCAGACACGAAAGACAGATCATCAACAATATCTACAGAAGGTCAGGGTACAGTTTAAAAGAGGGAAAAACCATATGCCACTAATCACAGAGAACATAACAGATAGCAATTTTATGCCATTTTGCTAGTGTTTTACTGGGCCAAAATATAAAAATATACAAAAGCTAGCCTTACATACTCAAGTTTATTTATATTATATATATGAATCATGGACAAGACAAGCTGAAGAATTAATGCCCCAACACACAGAAGTCTTACACAGTATTTTACAGAAAAAAAAACTGCTATTAATGTCAGTACAAGAATATAAAAATCTGGCTGCTTATAAGGAGGAATGACTGGAAATATTAGGATTTGGGTGTTGTCAATTTTTTCCTGGAATGGAATACGTTAGCTCTGAGTTCAGAGAATACCAGCAGACACTCTGATGCCACAAAATAGGAAGAAATTATGTATAAATACATGATATAAAAACTTCCTTTTAAATGAGTTTGTTGTACTTCCATTTCTGTAAGGACAGCCCACATCTGTCCTTATTATTTAACATCCTAAGTTAGGATTAGATATGAACTTTCATAAGTTTTGTGCCATGCAAATTCTATCAGTAAGAGAAAAGTACGGTAAATAGGTCTGTCTGACACTAATGAAAAAGGATTTACATATAAATTGTTAAAAAAAAAAAAGGTAGGCATGAAAATTCAAAATCAGTTGAGCGACATAAAAAATTTTAAAGAGGGTTCTATCTACATGAGTTAGTTCCTTGTATCCTTTAATAAATTATCAGTGCAATCAAAACACTGGAATCATGTTTTTTAAATAAATCAGCCTCACAACATCAACCTCCACTGGTGCAGGAGGAATGACTGGAAATATTAGGATTTGGGTGTTGTCAATTTTTTCCTTTTTAATTCATCAAGTTATCCCTTTGTATCCATTTGTGATCATCTATTTCCAAGTTTCTTACCTGAGACTTGTTTTTCATGTAAGAATCCAATAGTCCTTGTTACAAGTGGTGATGACAAACAGTTCCATGCAGAAAGCTCAGACATGTATAGTCCACCTTTAATTACTCTTTCATTTTGTTCATCAAAGCCACTTGTTATCTGGAATCAAATGAAATTAATTTAGAAGCGTGTGGCTAGAGAGTCTTGGAGAACGCAATCAAAAATAGGACAGATGGGCAGGACAAATAGGACAGATGTAGCAGGGTGGGAATGATGAATTGGCTTTACAGATATCCCATGAAGAGAGAGATAACAGCACAGTAAGATAAAGAACTAGCAGGATAATCTGGCTGATTTTTGTCATTTCTGTTATTATTCCCAGTTTGGCAGCTACAAATTATTAAAAACTCCTAAAAAATCTTGACAATCTCTGCATGAATATAGCTCTCTTTACATTAGTGCCAGTTGTAGTCACTTTAGTTCAGTTGGTAGCTGGAAGAATGAACACATTTAAAATAAAGGAACAGGAAAAAAAAGAAGAGGGATAAATGTGGCCGAAAACAAACAACAGTTTTTGCAGGCAATCCATAAAATAAAAACAAAAACACTCAATTTTGTCTTAAGAAGCACATCTTGACTGATAGTCTGAAAAATATCCTTTTTTTTCTGTACGATTATTATGCTACACAATCACCAAGAGGTTATGCGGGAACTTGCAAGGTGAAGCAAACAATGAGGTCTACTGGTTTACAAGTATGGGGACATTTTATGCCCAATACTTTCAACCAGAACACAAAGACAAGGAGAAGGGCCACCTGTGATTAAAGAAAAGTAGAAAAATTGAGCTCGCCATAACTCTTAAAACTATTACAGACACACATCTGACAGCAATTCACTCAGATCAAAGTAGAGTACAGATGGAATCAGAGAGCAACAGTGACTGGAGAAGGAAAAAAAGATCTGAGAACTACAACTAATCACAGGCACAGAAAATTAGTACTGACCAAGGCTGAGAAACTACAACACACAGCAATATCAAAGAAAATATTTTATTTCAGAACTGCTGAAGAAATGGAAAAAATAAGGTGTGTCATTAAAGAAAGCAATTCATGTAATAGAGTATGAAGATGTGAATGAGGAGTGTCTTGCATATTTAAAGTTGCAAATACTCAATAAGGAATGACACTTTCTGTGCTTTCAACTAAAAAAAATATTTCTTAGCATAAACCAATATGTTTCAGCACAACCAAAACAAGAAGTAGTCTTGCCATTAGGCATAGGGATCACAAGTGGAAGGGGAATACCATTTTACTTCCCATAAATTTCAGTATTAGACTGAAGAATACTAGAAACAGGCACCTTTAACCAGTTTTGCTTTTCCCTCACCAGGCAGCTGTCATCCTAGTAGGCCCAAATAAATAGTGATGTGCATCTTTATTTCCTATTCAGTCATAGTCATATTCCAGGCCAAACTCTACCATAGAGAAAGCCTATGTGATCTATTAATCACTAAAATCTTCTTGTGGATATTCTTTAACATTATTTCTTCCATCAGTGGGAAAAGTCAAGTAAGCTGAAGAACTTTCCCTAAATCAAGGAATTCTAGACCTAAACAGCGTGGATGTGCTATCCCCACAACCCTCTCAGGCAGAGTTACCTTAAGGGAAGCTCCTTATTTTTTTTTTTTTTAGCAATAGGCAAGACTCAGTCCTGGCTTTAATCCAGCCAGGGCAACCACAATTTTCATGTTCGAATCATAATTTTTTAGCCATGAGAAGCAGAGAAAGCAATGCAGATGATCATATGACAATGGAAGAACTTCAAAGAAAGAAGATCTCTTTCTTCTAATACTAAAATATAAGCTCTATGAGACCAAGTGAAAAAAAAAAAAATCTGAGCAGTAACCTCTTCTAATCCTCTTTTCTCCAAAATATAAATTCTCCAGCCTTGTATTACCTTGCTTCCTCCTATCAGTTTAGAGAAACTGCTAGTAGCTCTTCACCAATGTCACCCACTTGCCCATCACAGAGCAGAACCAATATTAGCTGCCTTCTATGCAGCTGGAACAGCTGGCAACTTCAGAGCAAATAGAATGGATGGAAAATGGCTCTGCAGTGAAAAGTCTGATGTTGGATCTCAAAAAAGGCTCAAGCAGAGGAAATCATGTCAAAATTTGCTCTTGCCCTGTGACCTGTCCCTCTAATAGGACAATTTGTAAAAGGTAGCTGGGTACATGGTGTAGCTATTAGAATAAGATACTGTAAATTGTTTCCTTTCTTTCAGGTTCATTACTCTGTGCTTTATTTAAGAGCAATTTAATTACACTGAGCGTAAAAATAAATGTATGTTCAGCAGTTTAATTTATTCTGAAATCCTCAGGGACTTAAGTCCTAGCCTTCACTATTCTCTTAACACTCCAGTTTTGTACTCTGTCCAAGGAAGTATTTGCTAGCAAATCCAAAACTGCGTAAGAAGACAGAAATCATAGGCTAACAGTGAAAAGGAGGTATAAAATGAAAATTATAGGGCATTTTAAAAGAAGCTTACACTGAAATTCTTGCCCCTTCCTCATGACTGTTTACCAGGGTGGGGAGAAACAACATTGAAACCCTCCTCTTGCATGTGAATATAAAAGTTCTCATTAACTGCACACGTGCAGCATGAAATGGACCCTGTACATTAGAAGAATATGTAAGTATATGGGCTTTGGAAATGATTACCAACTAATTGCTTTATTAATCAACCAGTGAATAGAATTGCGTTTGGAGAGCTAGAAATGGCTTCATCTTTTAATTTTTCCCCTTACTACCAAGAGAACAGCACTTCTGCATCAAAACACCTCTCAACGTTATTTTTAGAAGTCAATGATGCATCTTGAAATTGCCTTGCAAAAATGACTAACATTTCAACAATAAACCAATATAACCACTTACAGTAACATAGCAGTGACAAAGTAATTATTAGTTACCTTTTCATTATTTTTAAGTGAAAAATTTCACTGAATACAGAAGGCAGCATTAAAGAAAGCATAAAGAAGGCACAGTGGTAAGAGTTGGGGATAGAAAGCAGGTACAGGTGCTTTCTACAGCCAGATGAACACCAATGCAACCGAAGATGAAAGTCTAGCATGCAGAGGCTGGCAAACACAGGGAAAGTAAAAATATAGGAAGTTTTTCTCTAAAAATTATTGACTGCTAGATGACTCCTAGTTATATGTACATATGCAAAGCTTTAATCATGTTGGCTTCTGCCTCCCTCTTTGAAAAATTCCCTGGCATTGAAGGCTGTGGTCTGGCTGTACAAGACCTTAAACTTGACAAGGCATTCAAAACTGATATGCAAAAGTGGCAAAGGTAAAAGAAACCAATGGTAGGACCAAAAGTGTTTATTTCATTATCCTTCTCAGTGAGAACCAAAAAAAGATTAAATGAATTATAACCTTTTTGAATATGAAACGCTATTCACATAGTGAATATTAAATTCACTTCAGTTATGTTCACACAAGAATGCTTAAAGCTTAGCTTCTAACAAAATCTTTAGTGAATCTTCAAGTGTGAAAAATTGCTTTGGACATCCATAGAGGGGAAAAAAATGTCTTTTGGCTTTTCTCATTCTTATGCAGAGCTAACGATATTGAAAGATTCTCTTTTTCTTTGGTGTTATCACTTCCTATCTGAACACAAATATGAACAAATATTTATTTCATGCTAGATTTGAATGTCAGAAAATGCTACTCTCAGGATGTGATCATTCATATTTTATCTGAGCAGACTCGTCTATTCCTGAAGAATGTCTCTAAATAGAGAACAGAAGAACGAGTGCAAGAATAAAACATTAGGAAGAGTGTATATTCCACTGCCAGTAGTACAGAGGTACAGGGAAGAGACTTCTAACTCAACACAGTATGTCAATCATCAGCACTTTAAAATCAACTAATGCTGCCACATCTCCAGTTTTGCAATCACTGCTCAAAAAAAAAAAAGAGCTCAGATATTTTACTCTTCATTTGTATGTCTTGCAGAAAAAAGAATTCCAGACAAATGAGGAAAGTGTGAGGAAAGGTCTACCTTCCAAGAGATGTGTGAAAGCCTGAACACTTCAAAGCAGGCATGTTTTGTTCCAACACCTGAAAGATGGCAAAGTAAAAAAGACCCTTTTACAGCACAGTTGACCCCACTTCTGCTCATGGGACTTTAAGTGATAGGAAGCACAACATGAAAGACCCATCTGTTGGGGTCATTCCTGGTTGAAATTTTGACACAGGTATGAATATGTTAAATTTAGTATCAAAATGTAGCGAAGTGACACAATAGAATACCGCTTTAAATTAAATTTTAATACTGCTTTAAATTAATTATACATTTATGCTAATTCCCCAAAGAGGGCGAAGCCTTCTTCAGATAACAGTGAAACTGTTCTATGAGGCTGGTGCATCATCCATCAAAACCACACATTTACAAAACTATATATTTCAAAAATCCCGGATAGTGAACATGAAATGAGTATGTAGTAAAGCTGCTTCTGTCAGCTATAACTTCTTGAGCAATCTTGTGCATTTAATAGTGAAGATTTTTTTTCCAAAGGGCAGATTAAAAATTAAATTTTGAACTAATTCCATGTCACTATTTAGAAATATCTAATGCTTCTGAAAGTGCAGCTTTTTGTTCCTTACATAATCATTTAGTATATTACTTGCATCACTTAAACATTCTACCTACAATGAACAGTCGTCTTCTTTCCTATACTGTTACAAAAAAATAACTTTCACTATGAAACCGAATTAGTACTTACAAAAGTTTTGTTTTCTCTAAGACACTTCCATGAACAAAGTAGAGGACAGTAACACAAGCCAGGCATAGGTATTGTGATAGGCTCTGATCACATAAACAAGAGTTGGAATATGTAGAGTTACTTAGACGCATGAGAATTACAAGCTAGTCACTGCAATAACATGTGCAGCTTTTCTTTTTTATGATCTTTGTAGTACATTCATTTTAATCAAAGCTGAATTGTTTTAGGAAAAAGAACAAGGGTAATTCTCAGTCTAGACATTTTCCATCTCTTCTCAATTTAGAACAAAATATTGCATACAAATTTTTAAATGATCCTATGAAATGCTTTCAAAGAAATGCTTGAAATCAAGCCATAATTTCTCTAGAAACAATATTAGAACTCCAGAAACAATATGAGAATAGAGTTATTCTTCCTACCATTTTGCTATGCTTTTTCGGAGATAGCTGGAACCTAGTAATGACTGGAAAAAAATAATTAATACTTTTATTTTGCAATTCTCTCTGCATTCTGCCAAATTCAGATTTGTATTCATTAGATCATTTAGATATTTCTCTAGTATTTTCTTGCTGCAAAGCTTATCCAGTCCTTAAGTAAAACTCATCTAGAACTCACTTGAAGTTTATTACAAGGAAGAAGTGAAAGATACAAACCTCGGTGGGTCGGCAACAGGGGGTATGTGCATCCATCCCAAAACATACATTTATATTTAGATAGATAGATAGACAGACAGACAAAATTGGCCTCACTTTTCTGGAACAGTATGAAATTTTGAAGGTTTACTGGAATAGTCTCTATGCCAGACAGAAAGTGACATATTTTCATAAGCACTTTCAACTTATTAACATCATGCAATCTTGCATTTCTATTGATGTTGCAGTGGAAAAAAAGTCAGAGTGTGTGCTGGATAAAGCAAACTTTCAGCATTTGCACTCTATTAATTAATTCATCACCTAAAAGCTGAGTATTGATTTTTTTAATGGCTGTACAAATCTGTTTAAGCTACTGTGATGTAATTAAGAGGATGTGTATTTACTGTAAAACATCTAGCAAGTTCCATGGCTGTGCTTTTGGCAATAACAAACATTTTAGTTCAGAGCAGACAATGGGAAAAATGACTGCTTGAAAATGCTTTCCCACTAATTCTTTACTTTAAACCTACCATGCTATATAAAGGAAGATTATTCTCAAGCCTTCTATAATATTAAAAGTAAAGAGACTTGAAATCAACAGAAGACTTGATGCAAATTATTTAGCAGGTCACCTGGTTATCCATCACTATGTCCACACTGATAAATTCACAAGAAAAAATCACCCAAGTAGCAAATAATCAACTGATTCTCCATCATACTCAAAAAGTCAAACCAATGCATGGAAATGATGTTAACATCTTACAAGCATGAAGATCTACGGTTAAATGTATAATGAAGATTATGATGAGTATAATGACATAAGTGTTGTGTGAGCGTGAGAAAAAATGCAATTAAGTCAACCTCTCACACACAGAACATGCAATTAATAACAGAGGAACAACCAAACTTAGCTGCATATCTAGAATAAAAAAAAGGAAGGGGAAAGACAAGTAAGGAAAGACATGGGGACTTACAGATACTGGAAGAAATTTAGGATTCAGGAGTTCTTGGGGAAAAAAGAGCAGAAATTACATAAGATAAACTTCTCACTTATACACTAGGAAACCAGTATATGTTGATTCATGAGATTCTGACCTTTGACCAAACTCTGCAACCTGAGAAGACATCCTGCTGCTATCTTTGCCCACAAATCCCTAGCTTTTCAATTACTGTGGAAAAAGAAATCCAGCTATGTACACATCTGAAGTTGAAATGTGGAGTGCATATTCTATTATATAACAGCCTCCAGAGGGAGGACTTCAACAGTTCTGCTGAGAATAGTAACTGTTATTACCAAGTTTTCAAATGACATCCAACTGTTAATGGGAGAAGGGAGGATATTTGAAGGTACTCATCATGCAGAGATAAAAAGACAGCAGAATAATCCTGCTCTCTTTTGATAACGTTAATTAGCAGTAAGCTTAGTTAGGTTTTTAAAAATGAGAAATAAACAGGAATTCAATTTCTAGTTGCAAAAAATGCAGAAATCCTTCTAAATCTCTAATAATAATAATAATAATAAAGGAAGATATTTTTTCTCAGTGTTTTTAAAGGATCTCCACAGTTTTACCTGTTGTGTGGATTTTTTTCCACACAACTTTAATGAAGTTTTGTATAATCAGGTTTCTTCACCAATTTAATATTCCATAATCACTGATAGGAACAAAAGATGAGTTGGTTTTTGCAACCCTTGGACTGACAGTAGTGCATCTCAACATTCAGTCTGTTCTCTTGAAGGACCTGGAAAGACCTACTAGCTGTCTAAAAGCAGCTCTGATCTACAACTCTAGAATAGAAAAAAGAAAACATGGAGATAATTACTGTATGTTTGCAGAGCCCAAAGTAGTGAATCAATAATTAAAGAGATAATTAGCTCACAAGTTATGGATGCAAATTGAGATTTAATCCTTGCAGATAGGCTGTGAGACACTGAGGCTCCCTGCATGTGGTGCAAGATAACCAGCTCTTCCCTAGATGGACAGATGGGGGTCCACAAAGGTACTACGCTCCCACTGGGAAAAACACTTGGAAATGATCATCATCAGTGCAGTAATGTTCTGCACTCCCACACATCCAGCCTAAGAATGCGCTAGTAGTGATAATAACACAGTGTTAAAGCACCTTTTTGCAGAAAACTAACACAGGTACTACTAAGTGAGATATAATGCCTGCTAAGGCAATTAACTTGCTGCTTGATCTTTTGTTGAGTGCTGCTTCCTTTGTGTGATAAAAAATAAACCACAAATTTGGTGAAATCTTGATAGGTGATTTGGGAAATAAGGATTTTTCTCTCTCTCTTTTTTTTTTTTCTCCTTTCAGAATATATTTATCTGTATGTTTTCCATACAAACCCCAAAGAAAAAGTGGTAAATACAGATAGAAAATCTACACTGTATAGCTGAAATGCATATAAGAAGAGTGCCTTTTTTGTACCTTCATATATATAAATAGCACAGAGGAGCTTTATTATGAGACTATATTTTCAGTTTAATTTCCAAATGGAAAAAATAGAAGTGTATATCCATATTCAGCATCTCCCTAATAATTCTGATTTTTTTTGACAGTTTCAATTAGACTTGGAAAGGACAGTCTCCAAAATCATGACAGTTCCAGAATTTTCAGGAAGATGATGGCTCCTCAGCGACAGGGCTACAGAAAGCACAGTCCCGCTCAAGGAAAGGCAGGACCCGAACTCCTATTAAACTGTATGTGTTTGAGCTGCACACAGGGCAGATGTGTCCACTACCTACCTGGTAGAGCAGAAACCTGAGACTGGTTAGAGTGGATGAGGTTAATGTAGAAGAGAGAGGACACAAATTCCTAAGGTGAGGGAGCTCACCAGCTTTGTGGTTTAGAAAATTATTTACTTACAGAGAGGATATAGTTGTTGAGATTCGAGTTCTGCCTGGATTGTCAAGCGCAGATCACACAGCAGAATCTGGTTTTGGCATTATATAAACCTTGAATAAAAAAAAAAAATGCTAAATACAGGCTGGCTTTGCTTTGTATGTGACATTATATGTATTACTCACTATTGCCAACCTCAAGCGTTTGAAAACCATGAGTCAAACCACAAAACATCATGAGATTAGCTGTAACATGAGTTATTGAAAAGTAAATAAATACATTTGCGTGGTTTATTTGCCTTTTGATGAAGGGTGAGTTCAGGTCATGTTTTTGAAGCCTTTCTTCACAAACACGAAGGCTACAGACTCACTTCATTTTCCAAACAGATTTCAGCAAAGAAATCATAAGATTTTTCAAACACTACGTATGCACCGTGAAGGTCCCCTGCTATCTTCTCTGTAGTAATGGTGAAGAATCCATGTGCAGTGGCTAGCTGGGAGGTGACTAACAAGCAGGACTCCGTGCATTCTGGCTCTATAGAAAGCCTCACTGGCATCAGCGCTCTGAAGGAGCCACGGATATGAGAATCCCAAGGTATCCTGCCACAAAACAAATAACTGTGATCACAACCGCAACAAATGGACCTGCCTGTGGCACATTTCACCATCTCACTGCCTGAGGGTTTCACAAGCACAAGAACTGCAAGAAAGCAGAATTTCAGGTACAGGTTTTTTTTTTTTTCTTTTCCCTAAATACTTTTTTTTCCCCAGCCATTTATCTCCACACCTCTTGAAGAATTAGGGCATTTAGAAAGAAAAGACAAGCTCCATCCTTAAAGATGAAATTGGACAGAGCCTGAAGATGTGGAGGTAATGCAGTCATGCTATTGCACTCAAACCAAAATGCTTGGAAATTTCCAAGTGTGAACAGCAAATACAAACCTTCCTGTGGGCTCCTAACTTTATTTCTCATAGTTAATTTTAACATTAGGTGAATATATGTCACATAATAAGCATCTTTTCATATAGCTGAGCCATACTCTCATTGTCCAGAACCCACATTTTAAGCCAGGGACATTCTAGTTACTAACTTGCATCACACAGCAATTTCTATTTTATTTTTCCCGTGCTCCTTCTTGTGTGGTCCAAATTAAAATAGTTTTAAGGGGGAATTGAAATTAAGATTAGTCTCTACAGACAATTGGAAAACGTCTCAGGAAATGATTTGATTTTTTTTTTTTCTGGCTAATTTCTATTCATCAAAATCAAAAGTTTCCATGGGAATGGACCATACTATGCCAGCAAGTACAGAAGATTTGTCCAAAATGAAAGACAGCATCATACATATCAGACAGCTATCCACACACTGTTCAGGGCAGCTATCTAGAGCACCTGGTTTCAAATGCCAGCTCTGCCTCACTCAGAAATTTAAAGCTAAGCCAGCATGCTAGGCACTGTTCTTGCTCTAGACTACAGAAATATTTAAAATTTCAGAGTACATCCAAAAACAAACCAAAGTTTGAAAAATGACAAAAATAAATTTGCTTTTCATAGTCAGTTAACTTGCAGATTAGCAGTTTAAAATATTTACCATCCATAGGATTTATATAGATATCAGATACCTCTGTTTGACAAAAATGCAGCACTAAAGACGGATTCATTTTTAACTCGGGATAAATTTGGTTTCCAGAAGCGATATTAAGGAATATTCCCTCTCACGTTTTTCTAGATTGGAAGAGGAGTGAATCACTCTGTTTTATCTTATACTTCCAGGCATTACCTAGAAATCTGCAGTTCCTACATCTCACAGCACTGTACTACTGAACTGCCGCGAGGCAGGCCAAATCCTGCTTGCCAAAATAATCCAGCTAGACTTTGACGCACTACCTGGCTCTCTTTCTCTCTGTCAAGGGCTCTGCATCCTCTCTACTATCCCAGAGACCACAGACCAAGCATTTGCTATTCTGGGCCAGGCAGGTATATATAAAGGTGTTGGGAGTATATGGACATGTCACATCACATAAATAGCTTTAATCTCCTTCACCTCCTGTATTTTGTTAATATAAAACATTCAGGTGTCTCCTACACCTCATGTGTGAACATTCACATCATGCAGCCAGATACATTTAGTTTGTCATGTGGTAACCAGCAATGTGATGGGCGCATGATAGATCCTCATATAACCACATCCAAGCACTCTCGGAAAAGTCTCTGAAATTGAAGAGATTTATCAACAGTGTTTTATATGTTTTCCTTAGAGGGAGATTAATAAAGAGCAAGGATGGAAACAGGAGAAGTGGGTTTAACTTTTATTTCAGTGGCAGCAGAATGAGGCAAAGATTGAGTGCTTTTAAAAAGGCATCCTGCATTTGCAGGTAAAGGAATGAATGTGCAAGCGTCTGTTTCTGATACACTATGGTGCACTCAGGGACAAACATTTCACAACTTTAGTTACAAAAAAAAGAACAGACAGAAGTATAAATAAACATATATTAAAGCCACTTCAGCACCAAGGATTAGCAGAATGTACTGCCCCTGTATTATACAAACACATTCCCTCAGTATCTCCAGGGCTGACCTCGTGATACCCGTCACAGAATTGCAAAACAGGGCCACCTGGTAGCAGAGAGAAATTCTGGTCCGAATCCAGCCTGGGGAGTCCTCAGCTCTGCCAGCAGCACTTCCACAAACACAAAGATCTTGTGTTTTGGCGTCATCTTTGTTTACTATGTTCCAGCCGTACCTTCAATCTACAACTCTGTCTTGTAGAGCTAAATTGTTGGTATACCGTAGCAATGCTATGAAGGGATGCCATAGCACGAAGGGATTGCCAAGGCTTTTCTGTTAAGCTGATGCAAGCTTCTTCAAAACACCCTCTGCTAAATTCAAGCCATTAAAGCACCAAATGCTTTTGCTCATTTTTTGAAATTAAGTTCCAGCTGGTCTCACAAATATTATCTGCTTCCAGCTTGCACATCCAAATCCCTGGTGCTGTGTTGTAATTCTTGTAGACATCACAAATAGGTTTCTACTACAGCCTGATGCTGAAGACATGAACAAGAAATGACAAACCACTGTCAACTTGTAACAAGAGTGTGTCATTGCTAACTGCAGTGGCAACAGAGCATATTAAAAAAAAAAAAACAGGGTATAAGTGCATTTTTGAGATCAGTGCAAAAAATAAAAGCTCAGTTTATCAAACCGCAGTTGCAACTTATTGAGCCGTTTAGCTGGATAGCAAGGGTGAGAATACAGGGGAAAAAAAATCACCTTCAGGAAAATTTCACAGATGTCAGTGATCATTTTCTTCAGCAACTTCCTGGAAATCATACATGTTTTTGAACATAATGAAGCTAAGCAAAACTGAAGATAACAAAAAATACACTTTTTCTGTATTAGTAGTTTACAAGCAGTTTACTGTGGCAGTTTCACACTAGGCTTTTTCACTGTCCTTTACTTTCACATTCCTATGGCTAAGCTACCATGTTCACAAATACGTACGTTCACATTTTCTTTTAAGTTTTGCATTATCACATACAGAAGTAAAGCATTAGTGGAAAATCATATGGTTCAAGAAACCACAGGAGGCTGAGTAGAGGAATAATTTTCTGGGGCTTCATTCCAGCTTTCCTCTTTGGTTCAAGCCCTTTGTGTTGCTTCATCCTACTACGCATATGTCTTCCTACAATCTTCTTTCTATGTCCTTTTTGAAAAGTATTTTTAAATCTACCAGTGATTTACAGTAACTTCTCAAAATTCATGTATTTGTTTCCCTTGTTTGCTACTCTGTTATACTGCTATGACAGACCCTTCATAATTCAGCTTCAACCACTACTTTTTACATTTCAGTAACAAAACACTGCTGGAGAGACTTCCTATGACTGTCTAAATCTGAATGTATTTCCCTCATTTATCATAGAAGTCTGAATTTAGCTGAATTAATATGGTTTATTTAGCCTTCCTTAAAGGAAATGTATAGTACTTTACAGAAATAGTGCGGCTTTTTATATAAAAATCCCACTATAAATCACAGAAAACTAATATTTGGATATCCTGCTTACCCCTGAAAAACAACCAACTCAAAATAGCTTTGCCCATCAGCAAGTACACACGTGCATGTCTTTGTCTTATCTCCTGACAGCTTCTGCATGAAGAAATGGAAAATGCTGGAAGGGTAGACTTGGAAGCGCAAATCAGTTTTTATCTACGTGGTCAACAGAATACAGACTTCCATAGCTGTGATTTAGCAGAATGAACCTGACGAGTGAGCAGGCAGTTCCTCCTCAATGCTCCCTTCCCCAGAGCTCTCTCCTACCCAAACAGAATCCATTACAAGGGCAGCTGTTAGGACATTTGCTACCAGAGACAAGTATAGGCCCAATGGCTGCTGTTCCAATAGCAGGTTTTGATTGGTGTCGACTTAGTTCAGACTTCAAGCAAAGATCAAGGTATTCTCCTTTTCTCAGCTTCTCCTGCTGACATTTCCCAGTTGATAAATAGCCAATTAAATCCCAGAATAAAGTATATGACTAAAAGGTAATATGATTGAAATAGAGCTTTCCATTACAAGACCCATGTCCACTGTTATAAAATCATGTTAACTTCTACTTCCATTCAGCATGAGGTATCACAGTCTATCAGCCACTTACTTGAAAACTTAAGAATGAAAGAGTTTTATCTTAAACTGTCCTTCACCTATAACAGAATTCCTCTCAACAACAACAACACTTATAAATTATTTGCTTTCACATCTCACCTTTAAAATATTCTTTGCTATGCTGTACCTATGATCTAGAAAAATAAAGAAAAATAAAGCAATCCTGGATAACTCCAAGGAAAGGAAAATAAAATGTCAGAAAATTGATTATAGAAATGGCTTAAAGTATATAACAGCCATTATTTTTTTCCAGTAAAAATAATAAGTTGGACAGTCTTAGAAAACCATGGGAAAAGTTCTGAAGCGAATAAGAAGACAGAAAAAGAGAATAAAGGAGGTAAGGAAGAGTAAAATTAAAAGCTAGAAGACATTACTGAAACAGAATAACCCATCAAAAAGCAATACTAAGAGTTAAGAACTTTATTTTTTCAATGAAAAGAGACATCACAGGACTCCA